TTTCCCTAAAACTAGAAAATCCCACATCCTTAACTATTTGTCAACAGTAACCTAATCTAGGTCTACCTCTACCCCTCCTAACTCCTGTTTCTGCCTCTAATATGTCTCTGACTAGACCTTCATGCCTGAGAAGGTGTACTACCAACCTATCTCGCTTATTTCTTATTGACTTTCAGTCCTCTGTTCTCCTATTCTTTCCAATACGTCTTCATTTCTAACCTTCTCTATCCACGGTATCCTCATCATTAGCCTGTAAAACCACATTTCGAAAGCTTCTAACCTTTTCTTTTTCGCTGAGACCACTGTCCATGTTTCGCACCCGTACAGCGCCGCGCTCCATACACCTTGAACAATCTTTTTGGAATTTCTAAATTAACCGTTCGCGAGCATAGAAGTGAATTATTTTTATTGAAGGCGACTTGACTCTGCGCTATCCTCTGCTTTATATCCCTACTACTCCTTCCGTCCTGATTTATCTGACTTCCTTGATACCTAAAATCGGCCACTTCTTCAAATTTTTCGTCTTTTATCTTTATATTCGCTCTTTCCCTACTTTTTCTTCCCTTCATCAACCTCGTAACGCGATAGACAATAATAAAAACTGATTCAGTTGACTCTTAACAAAGAAACGACCCTTCTAATTACACTGGAAAAGGATATTCTTTGGGATCAGTTATCTCTTTCATACACGGTTTTTGCCAGATAGGCAACGTTAAGGTCACTAATGGAGTCGGATTAGCACTCGCCCTAACGGAAATATAAATTGAGGAACCAGAAATTTGGAGAAACGTTACAACGCGGCTTTAATTAATATTAATGAATATATGTACATACATTTGCCCCATTCGCAATGTATCGTTTTGTACTTCAAGAATGCAAACCATTAATCTTCGACACCGCATTCTTTGCTTCCCTTTCTTTGTGAATCCTTGAATCGAGCTTCATGATAATCGTTCTAAATGGGAAACCCCTTTTTATGGTTAAAAGTCTCTACCTATACGAAACGACACTGCGAGACAAAATGAACTTGACGCATCTACTATCTAAATCGAATTTAAAAGGAATTTCATGTTTTTTTTTTTCATTTTTAAACATACATTACGCTTTTCTTTCGCTTGAGAAGCCACCCTTCGCGCATAATGTAACATCATGAAAATCTGCACAACCTGAAGAAAATGTAAGTATGTAGTAGATATTAAAAAAAAAAAAGAATAAATTTGCTTGGTTCTATTAAATGCCATCAATAATTTTCCTTTGGTTTACTCGAATAATAAACTTATATTTACCATGCATTACCAACAAAAACGAAAGAAAGGAAAAAAGGGAAGTAGAATCAATAGGATGCCAGGACCCCTTCTGAGGCAGGAAGGACTACTCAATGACATACGAGGTGTGGCAGTTAAATTCCAAGAATTTAGTCATAACTCTTTACAACCTAACAATAATGGAGGGTTCGAACTCATGTTGGTTTCAAACAGCGAGTCTACCTTCAGTACAGTTTCGGAGTTGGTAGATCATTTCGTTCACGTTTTATCCGTGTTTTCCGCAAGCAACATTTTCAGTCGAATAAATGATTATTCCAATCACAAACAACATGTCGTGATATAAGTTTCAATGAAATCGGGTAAAATCCGCCGAGTATAAGCAAAGGTGTATAGGGACGAGTGCTTGTCTAAAATTCCTGCATCAGCAGTGAGTAGAAATGGGTGAAGAGTGGCCAACGAAAGAAAGGATGTCCAAGTCAAAAATGAAGAAAATGGTGGTCGTTCTTTTCGATATTTAAGGGCAATTTCATGTTGAGGGCACGCACTTCCCGCGTAAGGTAGGCACTTGTGGAGAAAGGTTGGATTCTTCAACATGCCAACACTTCCGCGAATTCTTCGTTGACTGTCCGCGAGTATTTGATCAAAGAAGTCTCCCCACGTTTCCACATCCCCCCCGATTCTGAATTCCGTAAATTTAAAAAGCTACAAAGGGTGTTTAGATTACATTACTGTTTCCGGTATAGTTTAGACTGTGGAATAGAAATGAGTGGAGGTGCGTGCCCAACCAGTCTTCGGCCTTACGACCCTATGATGAAGATTACACTATTTAACACTTATTATTTATTATGATAATCTGTCAGAATCTATAAAATTTTAGGGGCAATACTGATATACCCTCTTGCATAAGATTTGTATGACATTGAGCAGTCAAGTAAGCATGCGTTCGGTTGTGTCATTAAACATAAAAATTGAGTTTTACGACCCCAAACAAAGCAAACTGATGGAAAATCGATAATAAAGTTTAATAATTTCGACGCAACAATATGTTTCGTTAACCTATTATATATTCTTTGGATTAATTTTATATTTGTAATTATTTAAATCCTTGAACCTCACAGGGGTTGCGCAAAATTAAATAGCACATCATACCCTCTCGTTGCAAAATCATCGAACTTGGATGTTCTCACACCAAAATATGGTAAACATTCTGCATCTGTCCATGCATGTATTTGTAATGGAATTCCTTTTATGTTTCAACAGAAATAACGACCCTAACCCGATCCTTTATCCAATAAAATGACTCCCCAGTTTCTCATCACCCAAAGGGCAAGGCAGCCAATTCGTCTTAAAGGAACTAATTAACTCCCTAATGTCCTTTCAAGACTCACGCGAGAAAAACAAATAGCCGTCGCTTGTAAGAATAGACCTCGAGAAAGAAGTTAGTGTGTTTCCCTCCTTCGGGGAATTGTAGGAAATGCTATCCGTTCTTACAATTTTTATGTTCAAAACATGGAGCGTCATGCTTCGTTACAATTTACAATCAATTTTCACTTAAAGAAAATTTAGTTTTATAATTTACCTTATTCCTTTTGTTTCGGAAATGGGGAAACAGAGAAAAAATATTTTAAAACAATTTTTACTTCTGGTTTCCGGCGAGAGAAATTAAAGACATTAATATTTTATTAATACCTGGACATTAGTCCACGTCATAGACCTCTTCAACTTTCTAATAAAGCTTGAACGGATAATTTGCAGTCCCAATCCTCTCTCTCTATCCTATTTAAGTTTTTTAAAGAATTCCGGAACACAATTAAAGTTTAGAGTTAATTTAATTACAGTTTAAAGATAGTTAAAATTGCCTTCAGCTTTTAATTATATATGCATATATATACTGTACATGCTTTCTTATTATGCAGAACTCAATCCTAGAGAAACTGGAGATAGTAAAATTAGAAGAAATCAGACACAATATTTTATTCAAACGCTGTCTTTACATGATGCTAGTAAAGAATGTTTATGAGTCCCAGTTTAACAGTAATTGCCTATAGGAGGCAACATTCATTATTGTGTTTGCAGACTACTCCTCACAGTGAAAATGGAGCCTCTCGAAATTGATTTGCAAATTCAAAATTTATCGCGACTAATCCATCACCGATTCTGATGGACAAGATTGTTTTTTCATTTTCATGTCGCATTTCAAAAACGCATCAATTAACTTGATGTAATGTCAGATTAAGGTCCACCAAACTTTTCTACTCGACAGGGTGAAAAATTACTAATAGTAACATTTCAAAACTGTAATGAAGATGCTAGTAAATTTACTGCGAAAGAATAAAGTAGTGAGCATACTCTTCGACTGTGGAACATAAAGCGGACAATTTGTTACCTCATAAAATATCAACGGTTTCCTTTGAACCAACGTAAACCCTCTGTATTCGCTCTGGCACCTATTGTAATAAATACGAAAGTTTTCTTACTTGACTTTTATTGCAAGTTCAGTTGAATGCTTCATCAGTCGTTAACTGAGGCATATAAATTCTTTACAATAACTTTATCAGGTCAATTTCATCAATCTTCTAAACTTTCCGACTTTACAGTCTGTCATAAAATTCACGAAGGAGTAATTAACTTTCTCGTTCAAATCTCCTTTTTCTTCTTCTTATTTGGTTTTGATTTGAGCCGAATTTCGGTTTCTCTTCATTACTAAAAAGTTCCCCTTTTCTTTTTCTCCGATAGACTCCTTATTCTCTATTCGTTCCTACGAAGAGGGAAACTGATATTGCCAAATGAGACTGACGAATAACTACTTCATTGAATAAGTAACCATGATTGGATTTCGAAATGTTGAACGATGAACCAATTTTATTTTTTACAGTATTCATATTCAGTGAAAGATTTAGAGGACTTCCTCACATTCCGATATTCTCGTACGAGAAAGGAAGCTATTCATGATTTTCAATTGTACGAAAGTCATTAAATTTCAACTTTAGTCACACATTTCATTCTGGATCTCACTTCTCGGAAAACCACATCTAACCATAGCATCCACAGTTTCAAAGAATGGAAATTGGAAATCCAGAAGGATTAATATGGTCAAATAAAGAGGATCTATTATGGTAAGAATAAAATCCCACTTAGCATAAACAGCGTTTAACATTGATCAAAATTATTATCAAATACTTTGATGAAGTATCTGAAGATTTTGTTTTCCAAAAGTTACTCTCTGAGTAATAGGTCATCCATATCCAGACATTGACTACTGAATAATCATATGATTAATGATATGAGAACATGAACAAGAATGGATTACCGCCTTCTAAAGGAAACACACAATAACTTAGCGTAGTGTGAGACGTCTAGCGAAAAATGTTGGAAGCGCTTGATATCCTCCAAGAAGGGTAACTACCCAAAGCACGTTCAATCTGTAGTAGACCAGAAACGCATTTCATCAGCTCTTACACTTAACTTTGGTTGCCTCCTCAATTTAATTGACTCTCGTACAAACAGAGGAAGCATGAACAAACCTTAGAATGTACCACGAGATGAACAAGAATCTGATGATTCTCGTATGGAATTGAGATGACACAAGGAAATTGATGCATGAAAAAAACGACAAAAACTGCGAGATTTTGAATTTTTAGGAATGATTTTCAGTTTTATGATCTACTGGAGTCGTAGATCACGTTTGAATTTGAATAAATCGGAGTAGATCAATACACCGCTTGTGTCGCTTACCAGTAGCAGATCCCGCTCCAGCCGTTCCGCTTGTTGCAATGGTGGCGACACCGGCGGCTAATTTTCCAACTTCTTGCAGAACAGGAGATATAACCGGCCCCGAAACACCAATTTTGCGATTAGGCACAGTCTTCGGAGAACTGTTAGATTTATTCATAATCGTCTTCAAAGATGTCGGCGAATCTTTGCTCATAGCGCCTTACTCAAACTCACGTGTTCTGATAAAGAAAAGACGACGCAAAGCTGCATCGGCTACCTCAAATTTCGTCCACACTCCTAAACAGTAAATAGTCCATTTGCTGACGACATTTATCGGAATTTCGAAATAACAAGAACGCGGATAACTCAGTGGAGGTGGTTGCTCCTAAGTGACAGTGTATTTATTGTGTGGTGGATTCACTGTATCACTAGGTCTTTTTAAATCATGTACTTTTAAGTGTCCATGTACTTATCGAACATTTAAAATTACGTCAGTCCACTGACATCATGATTTTCACTAAAAGTTAAAGAAACTCATAACATAATTATCGAATGCCGCGTCGGCTGCTCGTTGGATTTTTTGACATGCACTAAATTTATTAGCAACTTAACCTCAACGATCCTGGACGACGATGAAACGAAAACGTGACATTTCTTGTCATCCTTTTTTTGTTGCTTGCGTTCACGATGAAGCCGTCCTTTTCCCTGACGTAGATTAAACTCCCACTATAGCAAGGAGCCAAGCTAAACACAATTATAATAAATGCATGTTTGTAAACCAAGTAGCGCGACAGCATTCACCAGCAGTGGAGTAGCAGTACGAGAAGTACCGTAGTAACGTGAATTGGTGCCGGCTCATCTTTTGATTTTACGATTAGTGCCAGTAACATCACAGTGGTCGCAATAATATTATTGTTGGAGAAAGTACACAAAACAAGCCTGTTGCGCTCTTCAATTGGTTTAGTAATTATTATTTATAAGTATGGTCAAAATGAACGGGGACAATAGAATAACACTTCGTAAAATTAATCGGGCATGTGTAAAATTCTTCCAAGCGATTGTTGAGTTTGTTGTGAGGTGCATGTTCAAACTTTTGTATGGAAACAATGGTCCCAAGATGCCTCCCATCAAAAATCTCATCCTACTGGAGTCCGCAAGTTCAATTGCATTCAAAATACGGACCAAAAGAGTGAGCAGACATGTAGCTAAACTAAATAACCTTAACTACATTAATTCATACATGTATCATGTTAGTTCCGATTCACAAAAACATTATTAGCTTCCGCAATTGATGATTGTGAATTACGCATCATCATCAATTTTAACTATCGTTCCAACAGTACACCCCATGACCCTAGTTGTATCATAATATATCTTTTGAATAATATTTTAGACCTAATATCCCCAATGGTACTATTTCCTCCTGTTTCCTGTTGATACGATACCTAAAGTTCATGTTTCCTGCATCTCCAATAATTTTCATTTACCAGCTGTTATAAACCCATTTCCGAAAAAATCAAATGTGAGATTATAGGAACATTAAGAACATATGTGTATCCAATGATTACTTAACGACAACTACTTTTGGTAAAGTATCAAAATATTAAAATCATGTCCTTCATTCAGAAATCCATTAATATTCGTTTTCTACTTCACAATGCAATTTTCATTTGACTTCGCTCATAAACTTTGGGTTTTATATCTAACATCCGTTCTATTTTAGAAATTGTATCATATCATAAAAATGCAACTCAAACAATTTTAGCACTTGAGTACCTACCTACATGCTTATTTTCGGCTGATTTTCAGTCATAACAATTTCATACTTCATTATCTAGATATTATTGCGTCCTGTGTTTGACCATTCCCAGAAATCTTAACTAAAAGTTCTTCTATTTCAACACTATAGACCGTAGGCCTGATATGAGACATCTTTCGAAGATAAAAATGTCTGTATTAATTAGGCTCATGTTTACTTTGACCAAAACAAACTTGTTATCATATAGTGGAAGGTCACCCATGATTCATATTTAATTACCTGTCAGATTCTCAAAAAGTAATTAAAATCAGGAGAAGAACAACTGGAGTTGTCCAGGTCGTCCGGACACCCCCTATGATCCAATGGACACCCTCTTCCACGATGTCCACGCAAATGTCTCATTTAGAGAAAATCGGATTATGTTTAAGTTAACACTAACAGTTCGATCACTTAATTCTGCAGATGAGTAGTATTTAATATCAATACAGATAAAAATGTAATGCTTCAACTTGATGGAAACCCCACAGATTTTGAAGATTGTTGCGCCCTTGACTAGAACTGTGCGAATAGGTACGATGAAGGACAAAATGGAAAGTTCAAGGGTACTAAAAATGAATAACTAAGTACCTACCCATACATTAACATCCTAATGAGGAAAATATTAAAAAGCAATTGCCTAATGTCTTTACCGTCTGCATATGTATATTATGCGACCTCAATCACGCATGGGACCAACTTGAAATAAGATTGAATGTATGATCATTCCGTAAATGAAATGATAAAAATAAAAATTCCTGCAAATTCCAGAAATTCTACGCCCAACTCGCTCAAATTTTGAGGCAAATCCATTACATCGGAGAAAAGCAAAAATAGACACACCTAATTCGAGAATAAATAGATTTGAATCCATCTTCGTTCGCGATATCCAAAATAACCGAAAAATCTTATCGAAACCAACAAATTCACTACCCTCCGTTCAGAGAAAAGCATCACATAGATTTAAGCACAATCTGCCTGTTCATCTTCTTCAAAATTTTCTGCATTTTCACCAAGTCTTCGGAATATTCACATCAGAAGTTAATCGTAAACTAATCTGTTAATAAAAATGTAGCGAAGTTAAAAATATCATTCCGACGATTTGTTCCCATGCTGACTCAAATAACATCCATTCCTGTAGATTTATTTAATAGGAATAGTATTCTGACTATCCTAAATCCACGTTGAAATTCAGTAGATACTAGTAATAGGTATGGGTTGGTTGTTTAATTTACTTTGGGTTCATTAAAATGGGTACAATAATTTGAAGAGCATTCACGAGAACTGTTGGCATTGGTAATGGCAATTGAAGAGGAAGAACATTTTGGATGTTGGGCTTTATTTGCTACGTGATTCTACTCAATCAGACACCTTCGAGTTACCTCCTTTACATTCAGGCGATGGAAACACTCGTCTCCTACTAAAATTAGCATTTTGAAGTTGCACTTTGCGCTCCATTCCACTATCTTAAAACTTCAAGAAGTTCATTTTATCCGTCATTACCATAATTTTTCTGGAGTTATATAGATTCACCTCGGTACTTGGAATTAAAATTAGAATTTCACTGAACTTCGTCCACATGAATAATGCAATAACACCAATAACATCCACATAACTGATAGTACACCACAATATATATCAGTACACCCCTAAGCTTACCATTTTGAATTTGGAAATTGCATATTATTTAACATTAGAAATTAATTTAAATATTAGGTAATTGTCGAACTTGTAACCGGTCTTCGTTAAGAATAAGGCACCTTAAGAAAAGAGAGCATCTTCAGATTCTTTTATTAGCTAANCATTTTTTGATCAAATGCAAAATTATATTAAATAGTAAATAATTAATCACAATATAATTTTTGTTGTTTAGAAATTAGATGAAAATTTCCTTAGTAACCCAATTTTTGACACATTCAATACTACACCACAATATATATCAGTACACCCCTAAGCTTACCATTTTGAATTTGGAAATTGCATATTATTTAACATTAGAAATTAATTTAAATATTAGGTAATTGTCGAACTTGTAACCGGTCTTCGTTAAGAATAAGGCACCTTAAGAAAAGAGAGCATCTTCAGATTCTTTTATTAGCTAATTGGTCAAAAAACAGATAATTTACATCTAAGATTTGCAAATGTCAAGAAACCGTATAACAGCACTTTTTACACATAATATAACTACATTGCCAACGAAAAGGTGATAATGGTGGACGACACGTGTGGCATTAAAAAGAATTGGTCGATGTGTCCGCGGATACAAACTCATGGACACTGAAGTTGTCATACTATAGTAGAAGACCTAGTTGTCCCATAGAACAGGGAATAGAATCACTGATTAAAAAAAGGAAGAAGTCATAATAAACTGCCCATTAAGATGCCTACAAAGTATGTGAGAGGGACATACATAAATAATATAATGCCAAATGAGATTAGAAAAATATAAAATAATTTAAAATAACCGAATGTTGTACATTACAGAGCCGATTGGGTTTTGCTAAAAACAAAGCAAAGCAATGATGATAATAATCTCAATCGAATGAATTAAAAATAATGTATAACGAAGGAAAAAAAATATGAATAATCGTTTGTGTTTCATTTGTAGTTGTTTTAACTCCCAAACTAACGATAACTGATAAACATATTGCAAACAATGTCATGACTACACATTTTTGCGTGCACACTTGTCTATTATTGGACAATAGTTCATAAACAAAATAATGCTGAAATCATGAACTACTTTGTTTTCCATATTCATGCACCACCATTAAAATTTTAATTGCACTTTTGTAATCAAAATAAGAACATAATTTTCAAATTTATTGCATCATATAACTGAAATTAATAATAACGATGCAGGTAGGTAGGTATGTATCTACCGAAAATTATCTGAATTTATTAATCTTTGAGTTAATTCCTAAATAAATTTGAATCTAAATGATACTAATTTACATTAAAATGCACTAAAAGATCAAAAATAACCGGAAGGTATGAGACTTTCGTAAGAAAATGGTCCCTGAGGTTTTCTAGTTTATTTCTTGTCGCTGATTGCCCACAAAAAGTTGTGTATTTTTCGTATAAATGTCCCTTTTTATCCAGGTTACAAGTGTATACGTGGTGAAGTCGTTTATAGAAAGAATAGAAGAAATAAACCCGTTATTAAATTGTGTTGTGGCGAACAGATTTAATGAAGCCCTAAAAGAAGCGGAAGCTGTGGATGAACTCATCAAGAGTAACACGCTTTCAGAAGAAGACCTAGCTGCAAATAAACCATTTTTAGGGGTTCCCTTCACCACAAAAGACTGCATAGCCGTAAAAGGTAAGAAACAAAACATTTTATTAACACCTGATTGCGTTAAACAGTACTCGAATAAAAACTGCAGGTATGTTGGCGATGATAACAGACTTAATTAAGTTCCTTATGAAAGATAAACCCCCAAACAGTTTCGATCTTTTATCAGATTAACCAATACCATTCCAAAATTGCCTGGTCTTCTTTCAGTACCTTCTTGGTTTTCCCTGGGACAAATGCACCTACAGAACGACTACAAACATCTTCACTAAAAGTCGATACCGTTACCAAAACCCACTTTTAGTTACAATTGTCACTCAAGTGCGAGGAATATGATTTCAAAAATTAATGACTTCCCTAAACTTTGTTTATTTGTTTTTCTAATTTATATTTACTCATGATACATCCCTAATCCTTCACATCCTTTGACTATCCACAAGGATGTCCGACATTGCTTTTCATAAAGTTGACCATCTTAATTTATAGTGAGTACCATTTAAAGGTCCCATATATATACGCATCTCGAATTTCTGTGATCTGTTGAAATATAAATTATAGATCTAAGCAGTGGGGGCTGCAGCTTCCACCATAAGCTCATACATTATTCCTGAAGGATCACTTATTCATTATCGTGCCTCTAAAAGTCTAAAATGTTAATTTTTCTCTGGAATCGCAATTCAAACACCCCTTATACAAAAAAAGATTAAAAAAATCCATGTACTACAATTTAAACATGCACATTAATAATCGTTTTAATCATGCTTCAAACTACGACGAATTATTTTTTAATGATCTTCATTGTTTAATCGTACATATAGAATGAAGTAGGTTTTTATTAAATACATGCATATAGGTGTTTTTATATCAAACAAGAATGCAGCAGGTAGTAGGTTTGCTGTAATAGTAATCTAAATTTAATTTAAACTTTCTCGCTATTATAGAAGCTATAAACTGCAATTTGCATTGAAATTAGAATTACTTTCCTCGGAGAATTACCAAGCACCTACCTAATCAATTGGCGCACCAATATATGAATCATTCAATACGTAATTGGTATTGGTCTATTGGTAATATACACAATACACAATTAGTGATTGCAATTATCTAGTATTCACTCAATGTACTGCTGTCTTGATCCATGTACATATTTTCAAAAATTTCTGTACCTCCAGTGACTATTACAACTATTATAACATTGATGTCATTTCTGAAATGCTTTGCAGTTTGCACTACGTACACAAACATATTCTAGCAGCTTATCACCAACGTAATCTTATAAAAATAAGCACCTACAAGATAATCTTTTGTAAGCACCGCAATATTTATTTATTTATTTCTCTGTTTTTACATGGGTAGCAGACATGCTACATAAAATATAAAAATACGAAAATAGATATAACAATCATAAGAATATCTATTCGACAAATGCTGATTATTATGGAGTGAAGAACAATAGATGCCAAATCAATCAATTGCAAAGATTCCAAAAATTGTAAAACTTTTAGAGTTTGTATTTTACCTTTTTTTATGGGGAGAAACCCGCCCCAAAACACTTGCAAGCATGAGACCCTAAATATCTAAATTTTCTTAAAGTTTGCATTATATACGTCTAGCAGGGTTTCTTAAGGTAACATGTGCTTTAAGGAAGACGTGTTTTTGAAAAACAAAGACTTAAATCATACAAAGAATATATTGGATGCTTTTGAACCTATTCACTAAAAATAATATTTATTTAGAGTTGAATAAATTAGGGACTACACTCTTGATTTCCTCCTCCATTTATTCAATCAATGTAAACGTGTGTCGTTACAGTAAATAATATGTTGATTTACTCATCTATGCGTTCATAACAGCTTTAATAAACCCAGCAGCAGTCCAAGGTTTTTCTCTTGCATACATTTTATTGTTCCATGTATGTGTCATACATGTATAGAGGTTCTACAAATAATATACGCGTAATGTTTTATAACATCATTCATACTAATAATTGTAGAAAACTGTACTATGAACCTATAATATTCTAACCGTTTTCATTCTTCTATATGTATAAATAGACGCTAGAAATTGTTCCGTTTTTTTTTTTGAAAAGAAATTCGTTCCATCTTGAAAGAAACCCGAGTGGGACTTTTGAAAAATTCTGTATTTAATCCCTATAAATTTCTAAAAATCAAAGGGTCGAATTGAAGAGTTAACAATAAACTATTAGGGCGTGTCTGTCCTTCGTTGTCATTTCACTTTAATATTTTAACAGAAGGGAACCAATTCATTTGCTTATGGACAGCGTGAAGATTCCCATGGATCAAGCATTTATATGTTTATGAGATTCGTTTTCATCTCATCGCATTAAAATTTTTTTGACCTGCCATTATGATTCTTGAGTTAAGAAACTGTTTAATTTCATTATAATTATCGTATTGTTGTATTAGATAATTTCATGCCTGCTTCAAAAATAACATTTTATTACGATAAAATCAAAACTCAACTAAACAAAACACTAAAAAGATCTAAAACCTACATCCTCAGTTAGAGACTCTCATCGGTCTGAATACAACACCTTGAGTGTTACAGTTTTTATCTTGTTTATAAATGAATAACAAAATATAAAATATAAAACATTCTGGTATCTTTATTTTCTTTTGTCGTTGTTCTGGATTCGTGAAGCAAATCAGTGTTATGTAACGTTGACCTTTTTTTCGTAGTGAAATTATTAATATATCAAGCACATAAAGCAGACCAAAGAATACAAATTCCATTCAATTAAACTTAATTAAGCCATTTTACATCGCTTCGTCGATTTGGTTCTCTATTAAACTTTTTAATTTCCCCGTTTCCTTTTTCTATAAATAGGCATGATACATACAGCTGGTTTGTACAAAAGGAAAGACGTTATTGCTGAAGAAGATGCACACGTGATAGCAGCTCTAAAAAATGCTGGCGCTATACTCATTGGACTCACCAACATTTCTGAACTTTGTATGTGGTAAGAACTGACGTTGGATGTTTTAAACACAAAAAAATCATGATTTGTTTATTAAAAAATACATCGACATATTTCAAAAAAAAAAGATGTCCTTGATATTACAGTTTGTTTGTTGCAATAAAACAACGTAATCAATGTAAACAGTTTTCTTGTCAATAATCAATCAAACTCCAATCGTTTTAAGAAATATACCTACTAACTACAGTAACTACAATTGTTTCGCTAAAATATTAGAAGGAGCTAATGTTTCTGTCTTTTTATTATTTCTCACTTATATAATACAGAACAAGGCAAAAACAAACAACACGTAGAGATACCGTACTTATGCACTGTTAATTTACCTACAGACCACACGAACACGTAAATTTTGATATTGAACTACCTCCTTATATTAGGTGGGAGAGTGCCAATACCCTTCATGGTCGAACAAACAACCCCTACGACATTAATCGTATCGTGGGTGGTTCGTCAGGTGGTGAGGGATGCATTCAGGCTGCAGCTGGTTCCGCTTTTGGAATTGGCTCAGACATAGGTGGTTCTGTAAGGATGCCAGCCTTCTTCAACGGAACGTTTGGTCATAAAGCGTCTCCTAACATTATACCTTTATCTGGACAGTATCCATCTCCCGCCACAGAGAAACAGAAGTATATGCTTAGCATAGGACCAATTGTTCGACATGCTGAAGATCTCCTACCCCTCTTCAAATTAATTGTTCTGAAAGATGTTATGCCCCTTCTAAGATTAGACGAAAAGGTCGACATCAAAGGCATCAGGTTCCATTATCAAGAGAACGACAGTGGATCCAAACTTGTGTCTCCGGTTCATAAGGATATAAGGGAGCTATTTAGAAAGATTAGTGGATATTTAGAAAAAGCCCATAACATTAAGGCACAACGTGTTAATCTCCAGCGGTTTAGGATGAGCACCGCCATGTGGATGCTGGGGATGAAGTCCCCAAATGGTCCCACGTTCGATCAGCAATTATCCAACTTGGAAGGATCGATTAACGTTTGGTGGGAGTTATTCAAATGGTGTTTTAGATGTTCAAATCACACCTTTATAGGTAAATGTCATTTTTACATCAAGCCAAATAGCAAAGTATACTTTTTACATCACGCCTCAGTCTACACATTATTATTAAGTTTATTTTATTTTTGTTAAACCCATTTACCTAAAGATTGATTCAATTGGGATCTTATGATATGGTCTGTCATAACATAAATCAGTCCCTTGCTAATATAAAATATAACACCCCTGCTCGCTGCAAATGTTGCAGCCAAATTTCGGTGCATGGTGAACCAATTGTAAAGTAATAATTAGGGGATAACCCCACCAAAAAGTGCAACGCAGGTCTTGTAAGTTTAAAAATAAAAGTTACCTTTTTCATTTTAAGGGTTGGCGACAGCTCTATTGGAGAAAAAAGAAGCCAGCGAAAACGATTCTAAGTCGGAGTACATCCAGAAAGAAACGAACATCTTGAGACGTGAAATAATTGATCTATTGGGAGATGATGGAGTTCTGTTGTACCCAACTCATCCAACCCCTGCGCCGTACCACAACGAGCCCATCTTTAAAGCTTTCAATTTTAGTTACACGGGTGTAATTAACGTCTTGGGATTCCCCGCAACCAACATCCCAATGGGATTAAGTTCTGAAGGTGTTCCTATCGGTATCCAGGTCATTGCTAATGACAAAAACGACCGATTATGCCTGGCTGTCGCCAAAGAATTTGAAAAGGCGTTCGGGGGATGGATAACCCCTGAAATACAAGCGTAATGTATTTATTTCACCTTATTTATTTTGTAAATAATTATAATATTTTATAACTTGTGAGGGTTATTTTTTTAATTCTCTGGTGGCTTTGAAGAATGAATAAATTTATAGATATTTCTATCCAAAGGGAGTAGTGAAAAATAGAAAAAGATACCCCTGTCTGTTCGATAATAAAAAGGCTTGTTGAACAAAATTTTTCCTATTTTCTTTATTTATTGTAATTTAATAAATACTATATATAAACCACAAAATTAAGGAATGGCAACATTTATAATTTTATTATCTCAAGACTTTTCCTCCTTACTTCGAAATAAAACTAGTATAAGTTAAAATATCTACAAAAAATATATTTATATAATTCGAATAAGTTTCGAAAATAAGTGTATATTTTTTACTTTACCTATACAGGGATCGTGGGTGATAAATATTGGGATAGCAGAATTCTTTTTATATGTGCTTTTTACAAATCGGTACCATTATTGGGTAACAACGGTCTAGTCGTATGTACTACTTTAACTAAGTATACTACCTTTTGTGATTGAGAAACGAAAAACCTTCACGGAATTGTACCTAATTAATGTGCATTCACAAACAATAAGCATTTATTTCTATAAATAATAACTAAAAGAAAAATAATTGCAAAAAACAAATAATTTTTTAATTGTTTACATTTTAGATAGCTTAATACATATTTTTTAAATGTTTATTACTATAGCAACGTCATCTATTCATTAGATACCTACCTTTTTTGGATAATATTTTACAATTTTATGTTTTGAACAAAGCAATATTATTTATATTTGATATCCATATAAATAATGGATCATTATTCTAAAAACTTGTAATTTTTAGTTTTCTAAACAGTCAATTTTTATAAACCTCTAGAATAATTACTGCTGTACCATCTACCTAGAGTATTTTTGGTGTTATAAAAATTTTAATATTATTGTACCTGAATTCTATACATTGATCTGGTTTAACTCAAATAAATAAAAATTAAAAGAATAAACCAAATAAACAATATACAAAAGTCGTCAAGTAATGCTCATTGTACGTTAGTTATTTAAATTCTGTTGTTAAAAAGATATTACTAATGATTGTATTTATAGATGTGCAATAATTTTTCAATTGAAAATATTTAAAATAAAATACCGATTCGTATTAGATGAATGTTGAGTGTTGAATTGTGAAAATCGTTTCTTGTTTTCGTTTCAAATTGTTCTCTCTCATAATTTTTTCATCATCAATAATTGATTTCCTATAAACTATACGAAAGATATATCTGTACCTATCTTCTCAGGGTTAAATAAAATAAATAATGAAACCTTGGTACTAATACCTATAATACAATATACATTATCAAAACAATTAATGGACTACCCAAACAATATTTAAAAAATGTAATGTATTGATAAAAATGTGCCTAATGTTTCTATTTGTAAAATAAAGTCGTTTGTTAAAAAATGAAGTTGTACTTTTTGCTTTGTTTGTAAGTGTTTATATTACTGTATAAATTGTCAACTATTCATTTATTTATATGATTAAAATTGATTAATTCTTTAAATAGCTTCAATCAAGACTGATAACAACTTGGGAGAAAACAAAAGTACCTACTTACAAAAATTTTAAAATGAAAAAAGCATTTTCTTTTCAGAAATAGGTAGAATAAGAAATTAAATTAAGAAACGGAGGACAAGTTTATTTAAATAAAAGCATTTCTGTATTACTTTAAACAAAAGGAAGTATTAAAAAAAAAACGTAAATTTTAGTTAAAGGAAAACAAAAAAAGATGAGTAAATTTTTGGAAAAAAATGAGTAGTATTAGCAGAGGTTACTTACTTCTTAGGTCCAAGCGGTGTCATTTTTAGTCACAGTCACTATTAACTATCATTTGGTTAAAATCGAGTAATTTATTATGTACTTTTTTACACATGCACTAAATATCCAAAAGCTACCCTTACCTTTACACGTTAATTTCACACTAAACCCAGTATAATTTTACAGAAAAATGACACTGACAAATGCAGAAATATAAAATCTGCGCTTAATTAATGTTAATAATTAAAAGAGATGAGAAATTTGTGTAAAATTTTATTTATACCAAATAAATTAACTAAGTTATTAGTCGATTGGAACGAGCCAAGATATACAACAGCTTTCACGTTTGCAGCGTGTAAAAAAATTACAGACAAGAAAACAGAACACTTTTTTCTTTAAGATCTAAATACAGAGCCAATACAATATCTTTTACCTCTAACTACATTTCACTTTACAGTTTATGTGTGTTGTTCTTCTTGTTATTGTGTAAATAGTACAATGTTTGTGAAATTTTAAAAAACCATCATCACACCCACATAATTGATCATTTGGATTTTGTTTCCACATTCTGTTGTAATCGATATAAGTTCTGGAATCTTTTTATTTACAATCATACATGAGGCTATTGAAAGAGGACAAGTCGTGTTTGGTTTTTTTGGAAATATATTCCCTAACTAATACTGACCTAGCAATTTCTTTAATGCAGCATAGATGCTAACTCTATTTATTAGCTAATGGAAATACATAGTTAACTTTTAAAGATTTAAATGTGCATGTATATAAATGGATGAACAAGGAATGACTAGATTACTGGAGGTCACAGGGCTATAAATATGAAGTGAATTGCTCCCACACGGTATCTCCTGCAGGATAAATAGACACTAGTAGTAAGTTTCCAAGAAAAAAATATAAAAAAACTCCAGACCTATTGCAACGATTTTGACAAAAAGAAGAAAAAACTTTTTAGTTAAGTATTTTCATAATTTTATACTAATACGTATCTTAATTTAAAAGAGATGTTTATACCATCAAAGACATGTTTATCAAAATTTTCTATTTTTCATTTTTTTTGCATCAATTAACACGATTTTAAGCTTTCAATACACTGTTTGAATCAATTTATCCTACAATTACGAATGAGATACCACTATGATTATTGCCCTGTGGCTCCAAAAAACAAAATTAATTGGAAAAATATCGTTTGCATACTGTAATAATTTCTTCTATTGAACATTTTTTGATCAAATGCAAAATTATATTAAATAGTAAATAATTAATCACAATATAATTTTTGTTGTTTAGAAATTAGATGAAAATTTCCTTAGTGTCCCAATTTTTGTCACATTCAAGACAATTATTGCACAAAATTAACATTTATAAAGGATTAAAAAAGAAAAAAATTCCAGAACCAAACATTCGCCCTTTCCAAGAAGCTTTATACTTCTACTTACAAAATTAGAAAAAAAAGAACAAAAATAATAACTAGAAAAAGAATGAACATAAAGAGCGACAACGAGCGCACGAAAACTGCATCATGATCATGATCTTTCTGATTTTTACTATTGTTATATGTACTGTTTTTAATTGCTTCCCGTAACGCTTTTTTAATTATGTATTGTAATATTGTAGGTAGATATATATTTTTTTTTTGACCAGTTTTCCAATGCAACAAACGACAACGTCATTATTATTTAATTTAATAACTGGTTGTGATTGATACGATGGGAGAAGGAAATGCGTCAAAAGTGAATTTTATTCCTTCACTACAACAGATGTTATAAACATTTATGCATGTATGTATGTATAGTATGTAAATGTGTGTATGTATGAAACCTAAGCATATTATGACAATATCGATAAACATGGTTCTTATAGGAAATAGTCGGGGGTACGGCGGGTCACGTGGGGCTCGCCACGTCTCGGTGCTGGATCGAACTGTAAACTAGAATTAAAAAAACACTTAATATATCATTTAATGCACATACTAGTAAAAAGAAAAATATAAGAAATGACTCCCCCCACTCCATTAGCAAAACAGGTACCAAAGACAGTACTCTCTATCCTACCCTTACTATTTTTAATGTATAGGTACCCACTTTTACACAAAAACAAAGTTAGTAACAAAAACAATTAAAGTTATACTTACAACGAATACTTTAGCGCATCGTCTAATTCCATAATGGCAGCCTGGTTACCACAACGATAACAATAATTCGGCGCGCTGAAGATGGTTACAACGTTTCGGTCGTGACACCAATTGTAACCCTCCATGACGAGCTGGTGGGCTCTCGAAACTAATGTGAGTCCATTAGAGTGGTTGAAAGTTTCGGAAATGTCTTGGCCAAATGTGTAACCGGCCCCTCTGGGGGAAATACCCCACCCCCCACGGTCATCAGGATCTGACCACAACAAATCGCACATGGGACCTTCATGTGGAACCTATAACAAAAATTACACAATAATTTATTATCAAATCAAATTATTTAAACAAAATGAACTATCCAAAAAATTCCTTTCATTCTTTAACCATTTAATATAATGTTACTAAAATATCAAAGAATAAAAGGTAATTCTGCAGAAGTAGGTTTTTCTTCATTTCTTGTTATTTTACCGAATAGGCTTATGATAAAAAAATAAAACAATAATTTATAATTAAATTAAATAAGTATAAAAATTAATTTTANTCTGTTTTATTTTTTCAAAAATTATATTTCTTTTTTACAGAAGAAATACTGTACTTTGACGAATTTAAAAAAGTTATATAATTAACTTGGCACCAAAAAACTGACAAATTGTAGATGATATTTTTACGTAGGTTTTAGAAACAAAAAGTTTATACCTATTTATATTCAATTGGAAACATCAAGTTGGTTTCTAAACACCTCTACATTTACGATTCGATAATTTAATTTATTCAAAATTAATGACAGTAAATCGTCACACTAATTGTCTTAATAAACGACGTGTTTCATATAGAAAGAAAAACACTAATTATATCAATGTTGAAATAAAAATCGTACTTTTACTAATTTACTGTCAAGAATAAAAATATTTTCCTGCATTACACTACAAATAAAAAATGCTCCTATCAAAAAATACATCCACTGGGTGTACTTGTGATATACTGCAATGAAAAAAGCTAACACATAAATATGCAAATGACTGCAGAGACTACAACTTTAATAATTACTATGCTGATTTAAAAATAACTCGAGAAAGAGTGGTTGGTATAAGGTGATAAGAAATGATGAATATGCATTTGGATAAAAAAATAATCAATACCTTTCCCTTTTTTAGAATAAAATATAGAATACAAAAATTAAAATATTCAAACGCAAATTCTATGTCTTTTTAAACTGCCATAGACGATAACTATTTAATAATTTGAATACTAATAATAACTAATTATCAACAGAGTTAATTTTGTACAACCTAATTCACTTTAACCAATTATGGTTCAACAGTCTGTATACTGCTATTAAATTAAATTGAAAAATATAAAAGGAGGAACTGAAAGTTATTATTGTGACATCATACAATTTTGTGAATTTGATTGTACCTATTATTTTAGATAATTAACATCCAAAAAACTGGTAAGCTTTACAAACTATCGTAAAACTGTAATCAAACAAAAAAAATATTCATACCTCTTGGAGACGATCCAAAGCTCTGATGTGATCCAGTGTATCAATACTAGGACTGAGACCACCATGTAAACAGAATATTTGCCCATCAACAAGTGCAGTAAGTGGTAAATAATCAAACAAGTCTGTGAAGAATTTCCATACATTTGCATTACCATACTTCCTCAGACACTCATCATAGAACCCATAAACTTGAGTAATTTGTCTTGATTCGTGGTTACCTCTCAATATTGTAATTCTTTCTTTGTATCTAACTTTTAGGGCTACTAGAAGGGTGACTGTTTCTACAGAATAATATCCACGATCAACATAGTCTCCCATAAATAGATAGTTTGTGTCAGGACTTCTGCCTCCTATCCTAAATAACTCCATAAGATCATGGAATTGACCATGGACATCTCCACATACCGTTACAGGACATTTCACTTCTTGTACATTTGATTCTCTAGCTAATATTTCTTTTGCCTGTATGAAAATAAAACTTATTTAGGAGTCATCTATAAATATATACTGCATCTATTTTATGACACTGAGTAGACAAAACTTTTTTGGAAATATGTAAATTTATATTGGTAACAGACAATCAAAGGTTAAATAGGCAGGCATTTGTATCATAAAACAATTATAGTGTAAGTAAAATATAGATGTGTTTGATCTGTCGAACACATACATAAAAGGTATTTATAACTTAATAACAGTTTCATTTAATTATTCTCCTCCATAGTAATCCAAACTATTTATAAGTAATTGGTGTATAGCCTAAACTAGAGGAAACTATGACACTGTTTAAATTTAGTAATCCTCCAAAAAATCCTGGTAATTGAAATTACCGGGTATAATCTATAAAGCGAAAACTTCACAGCAATAAATTGACAATAAAAATACCTTATCACACAAAGTTTTGACTTGATTTTCTGTTAATTGTTTGCATTCATTAAGTTGCTCGATCCACTGGTCCAGTTCTTTACATGCAGCTTTATCGTCCATCTTGAGGACCTATTTGTAATAAGAAGCACAAATAAATAATCGTAGCACTTTACTGTTACTATAAGAATGACTAATTTCCTTTAACTGTTAACTGCTTTTATAAATGCGCTTATCTGCACTGCATAGTTATACACAGCTACACAACATTAACGGAGAAAATGGCCGGATAACATCGTTGTGACGTCAGAGACCACTCATCGCTTTCTGCGCACCCTAGGGTGTATGCTCTCAAACCAAAAACCTGTTAGAACGCCGCTAAATTTAAATGATGTAGTTCATACAATTCCTTTCACTTTCGTTTTAAAATTTCTTTATTTTTAGAATATATTGTTTTGTTGAAATTAATATCTCTTTTAAAACTTCAAACTATTAACTTGTTAGGGACTGAAAAGGATTCATACTAATTTACCATATAGGTAGCGTAGGTATTGTAATGGTTTAAAGTTTAAAGGGCCCATGAGAAAAGTCCCTTTAATTTTTAAATGGGCTCTTTTTCACAAATAATGACTTTAGAAGCTTACCGTGTTGGGGCTCTGTTTACCAGGGGATTTTTGTAAAAATCCGCGGGTAGAAGCAACTTTCATCTTCACCATATAGAATATTATTTAAAAACTTTTAGAGAAAATTAATTGTATTTAGTGTTTCAGAAATTCTACGTGAAAAATAAATGACATGTTCCTTTCTAGACATCCTTTGATCATCAGTTTTATAAATATTATATATAAAAAAAATTATGAAAATATCAAAGAATAAAAGGTAATTCTGCAG